TTTTTTAAATGAGAATTTAAACAAAAAGTATGACCAGCACCAGCATTTAAGTTTTCTGATTTTAATATTAGTCTGACATAGTGTTAGTAACCATGCTGCACTGAAACATGTAATGGTACATTCTGAATCATGATGTGTTAAATATAATACCCCATATCCCCAGAATATCTAAGCTGGTCATAAAGTTATCAATGTGTAAGTACATATGCATAATCAATTATAGGCATCCTGTTGTATAAACTGCTGTTCAGCAATACACAGACTGCCTCAGATTTATGCTTATAGGTAGAAATTCAAATATACCAATCATATAGCATGTCCTGAAAATATGGGTACATTTTAAAACATTAAGACAATCCTGTTAACCATAGAGTCCCACAGTATGAGTAATAAGAACCTACATGGAAAGAAAAAAACAGAAAGAAAAAAGTATTCTTTTTAAAAAAACAGAAACAAAACAAAACAAAAAAAACCAAACCCTAATCAGCATAGTGCATGATTGACTCAACATAGTTCCCAGGAAAGAGTCCAGTCACTCGATTGCAGACTCCTTCAAACCAGCCATCGTCATTCTTCTTTATAACATAGATGATTGCACCCTCCTTAAACGACAGCTCATCGTCCTTGTCTTTTGTATAATCATATATTGCAACAACTGTGGGAAAATAATTGAAATATCACATGAGTGTAAAGACTTGTGCTACCATATACCCAAGCATCTCCAAGTGTCTTAAGCATTTTTCAAAGCATTAATGAACAAAGCTACATGGTATCAGGTAGGCCGGCTAACACCTCAAGCTATCCAATTTGACCACACCACATATTTACTGGGAAGTAACTTCTACATATCCAAAGTTCCAGGATAATTTATGGGGCTATACTCAGATTTTGTTTACTTAAAGTTTTTTGGCTTATTTTTGTTTGCTTGCTTATTTTTTGTTTTTGTTTTTGAGGTTGGGTTATCAGTATCTAGCTCCAGCTAGCCTGGAACTCGGAAGAGATCCACCTGCCTCTGCCTCCTGGTCTGAAAAGCTTTTTTTTTTTTAAGATGGCAAAATTGAGAAAAACCAAGTAAGACTTAAGGAACTCTGTAATTCTTCCATAATCAGTCATATAAAGTTCAAAATATTCTCTTCCAGAGTCTCAACTGAGGAATTATCTAGACCAGGTTGGCCCTTAACTGTAGGAATAAAGACAGCTGTCTAAGCCCAAGCAGCTACAGGCAGCATGGGTACATTCATTCCTCTGCTTTTGATTCGTGAGTATGTCACTAGCTGCTTATGTTCCTGCAATGATGGACTGTGACCTGGAATTACTGTAAACTAAAATAAACCATTTCCTCCCTGAAAAAAAAAAATTAAAATAAATTCTCTTCCTTTCCAATTAAAATATTCTTTCTTTACAGTGTTGTAGAAGGGGAAAGCAAACTCAAAAGTACATACTATTGGTTTATGACCTTAAATTATTTCCTTAAATCCATGTTTATAACATAATTCTAAAATTGTAATTTTTCGACTCTGAATTTTGTTTCTTTTTTTCCTCCACTGCTTTACTCATTTATTTTTAGTAGCCATTTCCTAAAATAAGTAATTTTAAAAATATGATGTTCTGGGGTTATTTTTCCCTTAGGATGGTTTCTCTACATAATTACTCTAAATCAGTGAAATAGGAAGAAATTACAAGTACTGATCCATTGCCACAGTTTGTTCAATTAAAATGAGCTGTCTTTTCTCTTTACAAAACACTGTGTTGAGTTGGGTATGCTGGTGCACTCCTTTAATCCCAAAACTCGAGGCAGAAACAGAGGCAGGCAGATTTCAAAGCCAGCCTGGTCTATATAGCAAGTTCTCTACACAGTGAGACCCTTTCTCCAAATCAAAACAATAAAACACTGCATTAAGTGGACTCAACAAGTCCATTCCTTCCATCTTAGTTTTAAAAGTAACAGCATTGTGACTTTGATCTCAAAAGACTAAAGTTTAAAAATATACAGAATAAATAACATTAAATAGTATTCCAGAATTATCCAGCCTGGTCTACATAGTGAGTTCCAGAACAGCTGGGGCTACAGGGAGACCTGTCTCAAAAAAAAAAAACAAAAAAAACCCACTTACATATAATCCTACTAACTGTGGGGGGGAAGAGATTGAGATAGACTCACTATGCAAACTATGTTGCTGTCAAAACTTGCAGTGATTCACCTGCCTCTTCCTCCTCAGTGCTATGATTCTAGGTATACTGCCTGGTTTAATTCTACTAAATCTTTTTTTTTTTTTTTTTTTCTTTTTGAGACAGGGTCCCCTTGCAGCCCCAGCTGTCCTGGAACTCACTATGTAGACCAGGCAGGCCTTGAATTCACAGAGATCCACCTGCCTCTGCCTCCCAAGTGCTGGGACTATAGGCATGTACCACCACGCCAGGCTAATTCTACTAAATCTTAACTTGATTTAGACTAGAGATCAATAAACCATGGTCAACAGACAAATCTAAGCCATTGACAATTTCTGAAACATTTTCATATAAGATCATATATTATAAATTTGTCAATTTATATAATAAATGATTCCACTTTCAGGTAAAGTTTTAACTGTAAGAAAATAATGGTTGAAAGTACAACTCAAGACTACTCAGGTCTCTCATCCTCATGGCAAGATACATGGGAACATACGCATGATATTCCAGACTTCCTTAGTGATATGTAAAATAGTTACTACTTTAAAATATGAAAATGGAAAACAACAAACTTGCTATTGACACATATCCTAAACTTTGGAAACAAAGAATGCTGCTGGTCTCAGAGCTGAATCTTCCTGCATAAAGCCAGTCAAAATACAAAGTAATGTTTTTCAAAAGTAATTGAAAAGATCAATTAAATTAAAAGCATTTTTCAGATCTCTATAGAAATGCAGATTTTTAACTAGCATAGAATTGGGTAGAGGTAAAACAAACTCCAGAAACCTAATTTGTTTCTTCCCACCTACATTTTTTTTATAATTATAGAATGAGATATTATAAGTAAACTTGAACTTTAGAGTATATTTTATGAAATTGAATCCTAGTAATTTATCTTTTTAAGAAATCATTTATTGGGGCTGGAGAGGTGGCTCAGTGGTTAAGAGCACTGGCTGTAAGACCCGGGTTCAAATCCCAGCACCAACATGGCAGCTAACAACTGTCCCTAACTCCAGTTCCAAGGGATCCGACAGCCTCATCTGTGGGCATTGCACGACATAGGTGCACTGACCCACATGCATGCAATATACTCATACACACAAAATAAAAATAATAAAAATGATTTTAAAAATTTTTAAAAAGAAATCATTTATCTGAAAATCTTGACGTTTTTTCTCAAGACAAATTTTGGGGGTGGTTGGGGGGGGAGTCTTTGAGACAGGGTCTCCCTGTAGCCCTAGCTGACCTGAAACTCTCAAACCAAGTTGGCCTGAGATCTACCTGCCTCAGTGCTAGGATTAAAGGTGTGTGCCACCACACCTGGCTACATTAATTTTTTAAGTATTTAAATATGAAATTTCTCTATTTTAATTAAAAGAGCAGGGAAATTTTTTTAATTAGGAATGGTAGGTAGCACATCATGTAATCCCAGCACCTGGAAGGTAAAGACAGGAACATTGGGAGTTCAAGGTCACCCTGGACTACACAGCTACTTCCAGACCAGCCTGAGGTACCTGGACATCACCAAAAAAAAAAAAAAAAGATTTAAAAAGCAAGGAAAAAAGTGTAAAATCATCTGGAATTACATAGGACCTCCCTAAGTCATTTAGCTTCTTTGTGCATTAGTTGTCCATAAAACACAGATAGACAAACCAATCTGAAGCTAGAAGCACACACAGTTTGAAAAGGCAGATTTAACAAGTTTAATTTAAGCTGGGAGTGGTGGCGCACGCCTTTGGTACCAGCACTTGGGAGGTAGAGGCAGGTGGATCTCTGTGAGTTCCAAGCCAGCCTGGTCTACACAGTAAGTTCAGGCCAGCTGGGGCTACAAGGGAACCCTGTCTCAAAAAAAAAAAAAAAAAAACCCAATTATTAATTTAATATCTAAAGAATTAAAAAGGCTTTTTATATATTGGTAAAGAATAAAAAGTATATACAGCAAAATCTAAGTAAACCATCTTGAGTTCCTGGTAAGGTGGTTCAAGTAACATGGGATAAGGCATTTTTTTTTTAACAGTACTAAAATTCTGTAATTAGATTATAGTCCTTTCCATAAATTCCATGGTAGCAGTGCCTTACCTTTCTCAATATAGTTCTTGGGGGCCCATGCAGGATCCCCATCTGCATAGGGGTCACTGTACTGAACTACTGCAGCTTCCTCATCTTCATAGTCCACTGGAGGTGGTGGTGGTGGAGGTGGAGAGTCATCAAACATGGGAATGTCATCTGGTGGAGGTGGTGGTGGCGGAGTTGGGCTATCAGCAACTAGAAAGATTCAGATCGTTAATCTGACTCTGAAATTAGTCTAAATGGAAATCTATAAAATTTAACAAAGTTCTAAATCATACAGCATGCACTATATAAAACATGCAATGATTAGAAATAAAAGCTTGGTGTGTTAAAGTTTACACTGCCTTTAAGAATAATTTTGCAATAATAAAATGAGCTAAAAATAAAGATATTAAGTACTACAATTAATGAATGCAAGAGGTTAGAATACAACATCTACTTTCATTAGGATTACAGAAGTAAAGAAGTTTCCTTATTCTAAGGCTCAGGTCACAACAATTGGTATTTAAGCCTAGCTCCCTTTATTCACATCTGTCATTCAGACTACAGTAAATGTTCTTACATTAGAGGTTTGATAATATTTTACTGTGTACATTCATGCCCCCACTATTGGCTTTTAATAGCTTTAGTGCCTAGAAACTATTTTCAAGTAGACATTTTTTTTAATTTTTTATTGTTTGTATCAATAGAGAGAAAAGCAAAGTTGGTAGTTTATTAGGTCAGCATCTTTGTGTCGGGTTTTGTTTTCTATTTTATTTAAATTTTAATAAGGAAAAAAAACCAATCAAAAATCGTTATAGTAGAAAATAATCATTAAATATTTTCAAAATCAGTTATAATCAAAATTTCAATGTCAGAAGGAAGCTAAGATTTTTGCATTACTGCAAATAAAACAATGCATGAGATGAATGAGGGAAAGACCAGACCATAAAGATCCAATTTTCTAATTCAAACACAATTAAGATTTAAACATAAAATGTTGAGAGAAGATGTAATAATTTTAAAAGAAATCAAAAGAACTTAAAACAATAAAAACGACTCACACCTCCAATTCTAAAAGACTGGTGTTGTGTGTATTACGTATATGTTCTTTAAAGAATCAAAGGTATTAACAGTGAAATGGAAACATGTAGACTAAAGCTTTATTTACTGCACTGCTGAGATACCAGGTCACAAGTGCTCCTATGATTAAGGAACTCAATGCTGGAAAACAACTAAGGCTTAAATTTCTACTCCACAAATTCCTTTAAAAGTTCATAAGACAAATGGAAATGTTTTTATACAAACTGATTCAAGTTTAAAGGTTATTCTCCCTGACTTGGAATAATATGTTGAAAACAGAACCAAAAGGTACAGACTTAAAACATTTGCCGATAATGGTCCCACTTCTATAAACACTTCAATTCTGTGGTTTCTATTTTGATTCTGGAGATGAAAAGGATTCCTATATGGTGATGCTCACTCTGATGGCTATTGAACAGGTCTACAATTTGTTTTTCCACCACATACACTGATCCAGCTTATTTTTGTCCATTACTCTTCCATAAAGCTAAGTAGAGAAGGAAAATGGGTATGAATCCATCCTGACAAGAATAAACGTGTATGTTTCTAGTTTCCTAAATTGCCATTCCTCTTGATTTATACAACTTAGTAGTTTAAGTTGTAAAAAATATCTTTATGGCCAATTATTGTTAATTCTACATTGGTTATCTTCACTTTATGGCAAAAATCTCATCAACCCAATTTTCTGCCCTAATACTTCATCTGGCACTATGTGTGTTTAATTCAAAAGGCTTTCTGATGTTAACAGTAAAGAAGAATAGATGTAAACACTAAGGACTTAGGGGCTTATATCTTAACCCAGGTCAATAGCTATATGCATGTACTGTCACTTCCTGAGTGTCAGAAAACTCATTTAGGAAGCACATAAAATATTTCCTCCTCTTAAAAGATTTAAAGTGCAGATACACAATTTCTCTTCATTTTCTTAACTTGATTTCAAAGAAAATAGACTTAAAATAAACTTGGAAAACAGTGGTATGAAACTAACTGACTCAACTTCATTAATCTGGTAAAAACTGAAATAGTTGTGTCAAGGGGTCTCCTTGGCAAAATAATGTATATGAATACTGGATTTTTATTTTGTCAAGTTACCAAAAAGTTAGCTGATGATCTCTGGGCTCACAAAATGCGTGTCCAATGAATACTAGAATTATTTCCTAATAACTCTTCATGACAGAGCAGTTTCAAAAGATGAACTGACATAGTTTTCAAACTTCGGTAGGTGTAATTTTAAATTGTGTCGTTAAGAACCAGCAATTTTGCTGGGCATGATGGCACACACCTGACATGCCAGCAACTCAAGAGCCGAATGTAGGAAGAACTCTACCTCAAGACCAGCTTCAGTGACACAGGGAGATGCTCTCTCAAAATACAAAGAACTTGTATGTTGCACCAGCTTTTAATCCTATCACTCTAGCGGCAGAGGTCAGTAAATCTCTGTGAGATAGAGGCCAGCCTTATCTACATAGCCAGTTCCAGACCAGCTGGGGCTATAGGGAGACAATGCCTCGAAAAAAAACAAACAAAAACAACAAAAAATTTCAAGAACTATGTATGCAGCTCAGTGGTAGAGCACTTAGGGAGCATGTACAAGGCCCTGGGTATGATCTCCAAAGCTACCCAAAAAAGGAGGAGGGAGGAGCAATGCCTACTAATTTACCTTTATTCACTTTTTTTTTTTTTTTTTTTTTTTTTTTTTTTTAACAGGGTCTCCCTTTAGCCCCAGCTTGCCTGGAACACGCTATGTAGACCAGGCTCGCCTCAAACTCACAGGGATTCCCCCTGCCTTTAGTTGTGCACCACCACGCCCAGCCTTATTCACTGATTTTTAAAGACTTAAGATAGATTCATTTTTAAATGTTTGAACATAGGGTTTTCAAACTAAAACTAGTAAGGCTTATTTCAAAATTCTAAAACATTTTATAATTAGCCCCATATATATTTAAGAAAGGAAAGCACTTTGTTTTAAAAGAGAACTAAAACTTTACTATCTTAACTTCAATGTTTGACATCACATAATTCAGCAACTGTAGAACTGTTCATTTGCCTTACAATATTCACTCTGGTCATGTAGCTAGAAATATTCTCTAACCTCAATATATTCTACCCAGATCAAATACATATATTAAAAATACTTAACAGAAATTATTAAGCCTGATCTTCATTCACTAAGATCTAAAAAAAAAA